GGAGCCCGATGCGGGACTCGATCCCAGGACCCTGGGATCATGACCTGAGCTGAAGGCAGTCGCTTAACCAACTGAGCCACCCAGGCGCCCAAAAGTAAACATTTTAAAAAAGACATGCAGGCTGTGTAGGACTGATCACTCCCCAAGAGAGGACTTAGCTGGAGCCGCCTCAGCTGCTATTAAAGTGAGGTCAAAGTGCGCCTTCCCAAAGGCTAATGCAAGACACCTATAAATTTTTAGTATTTCAATTCCAAGACAGCCCACTCTGTACACCAAGAACAAGTTAAAAGAATAGTTATATTTCTAAATGAAAAATGAGCTAAGTAAGTATGACAGGTTTGTCCTAAGGATGGGCTTATCGGCTCTGAAAAATGACACAACGGTACATAAAGGCACGTACTCTCACCACAGGTCAGAAAGGAGCTAGAAACAGGTTAGTTCTAATTCAGTCTTTAAGAAGTTAGTTAACATTTTCCATAACTGCAACTGCATTGCACTAAGCATTCTTTAAATGTTGACGGCATTCTGAATGAACTCCCTGATGAAAGTCTTTTATACATTATTAGCATCGAGGGAAACTTCCCTGTCATGTCAAAAAAAGTCTGAAGTAAATACTTAGCATTTGCTCATATACACTTCTTGTGACTCTACAGATACTGACTGCCACCTCGAGGTACTGTACTAGATGCCGGAGAAAAAGAGACCAAGTCAGTCACTGCTCCTCCCCACATGGAGCTTGCACCCTATAGAAGACAAGCACTAAACAAGTAAGTGCACGTGTATTTAACTGCTACTGTGTTAAGTCCTTATCTAGGTAGTCAGGGACCACTTTCCTGAAGACCCAACATTTAAGCTCAGCTTTTAAGACTGAGTAGGAGAGGCGCCTGGGTGGCTCAGTCGGTTAAGAGTCTGCCTTCGGCTCAGGTCATGATCCCAGGATCCTGGGATCGAGCCCCACATCGGGCTCCTTGCTCGGCAGGAAGCCTGCTTCTCCGTCTCCCGCTGCCCCTGCTTGTGTTCCCTCTCTGTCTGTCAAATAAATAAATAAAAATCTTAAAAAAAAAAAAGACTGAGTAGGAAATGGCCTGACAAACAATGTGCCTAGATGCACGTGTGTGTCGTATAAGGGGTGCGCTGCAAGCAATGGAAACAAATAATGGGAAGGGCCAGAGACAGCAAGCACTGGAACCCGCCCCAGAGAGCAAAAGAAGGTCAGTGTGGCTAACTTTCTGCCTGGACTGATTAAGAGAGATAAGAAGGGTTCAGGTTTTTCCAGTCTTTTAGGTCATGAAAATTGTTAGGGATAAAATCTAAAATCTTTAAGGAAAGGCTCTGAAGCAGGGTAATGTTATACTAGATTTGCCTTTTAAAAATTACTTTGAGGGGCGCCTGGGTGGCTCAGTCATTAAGCATCCGCCTTCAGCTCAGGTCATGATCCCAGGGTCCTGGGATCCAGCCCCGCCTCGGTTTCCCTGCTCCGCGGGAAGCCTGCTTCTCCCTCTCCC